ATATATATTTATATGATATATATATATATACACTCTTCTTTCCAGAATGAAACACGCATGACCATCTGGATGCCAACTGTATGATGAGGGCTTCCACAGATTCTCTCTTCCCATCAGAATACCTACTCCTTTGTGTTGTTTAGCATTGCTGCTTGGTATTAGAATTAAAATAACTTTAATAGCTATTGTCCAAGGAGATTTCAAAAAATTCATGGAAAATGGAATCCAAGAGTTTCTTCTGGTGGAAAAAAATTGAAATCCATGCGTTTTAAAAATATATAATATGCATATTCTGTGCACTCTTTGAAGAGCCTATGTTGAGGAGTGTGTGCCAGTACGTGCCTCTCTGTGCCTTAGGGCTTTTCTTGAACCATGGAAACTTAACTCTGCCCATACTTGCAGCTATGTGACCCTCCACACAGCTGGCAGAGACAGGTGGGGTTGGGGTGTGATTCTACAGAGGTGAGGCTCACACCACCTCCCAGGACTGACTCGGATTGGCTTCTGCCAGATAACGCTCTCCTATTTGCTACCTTCCTTTCCCCATACAGATGGTCCTGACTTAAGATGGTTCAACTTAACCATTTTTTCAACTTTACAGTGGTGTGAAAGTGATGCTCATTCAGTAGCAACCGTACTCGAGCACCCTGGTAAGCATTCCGGTTTTTTTCTTTGTTTTGCCATAGGCTGTGTGCATTCACGTGCATGCGAGAGAGAGAGAGGGAAAGTGAGGAATCACCCTCTAGAAGGAATGACCACACCATAATCTCTTCTCTTCCATTACCTTTCTAGAATCTTGGGCATGCATGCATAGGTGCCTGGTGTGATTTTCTTTTTTAGAGGTTTTAGGGTGTGAACACTTGCCAGAGAAAGAGACAGAGACAGTGAGAGAGGAAGTGAGAAAACACCCCTGGGAGGATGGCCACAATGAATGCAATTCCTTCTCCATTCTGCTCCTGGTATCTTGGGAATGCACACTCATGAGCCTGGCATGATTTTCAAGCCAGTGGGTCTGGATTTGAAATGCAGTCGGCCAGGTGGGTGTCCAGCAATGTAACTGATATGCCTACTGCTGGCCTCCCCAGCATGATTTTCAAGCCACCAGGTTCAGGACTAGAACCTTAGTTAACCATGTGAGAATCCAGCGCCTTAACCACCACACTATCTGCTGGCTCCAGCATTCTGTTTTTTACGTTCAGTACAGTATCCAGTAAATTACACAAGATATTCAACATCTTATAAAATCAGCTTTGTACTAGATGATTTTGCCCAAGGTATGTTCATGTAGGTGTTCTGAGCATGTTTAAGGTAGGCTAAAGTACAACAGTCAGTAGGTTAGGTGGATTCAATGTATTTCTGCCTTAACGATAGTTTCAATGTATAATGGGCTTATTAGGCTATAATCCCATTGTAAATTGAGGAGCATCTGTTTAAACCCCACTCCCCATCCGCTATTCTCCTGGCGTTTTTTCCCTATACTCCCATTTGCATTCAAATCTTTGTTTCAGGATCTGATTCTGGGGAAAACTCAAACAAAGTTAAAATGTCTTATTATTGGGGCCAGCAGGTGGCTTAGTGGTTAAGGTGACTGACTCCCACATGCCTGACAGCAGTTCAAGTTCCAGGCCTGATGGCTTGAAAATCATGCTGGTCGTGTGCATACGTGCCCAAGTTTCCAGGAGAAGAATGGAGAAAGGATGTTGGCATGGCCATTCCCACAGGGAGTGATTTCTCACTTTCCCTTTCTCTGTCTCTCTCACCCCACAAGGGGAAAAAAAAAAACTTAAAAAAATAAGTCTTATTATCTCCATTTTATAGATGAGGAAACTGAGGCATAAAGAAGTTAAGTGGTATATTTCTCACATGCTCACTGACTCTTTTTTTTAATGTTGCTATAGTGTATGTGAACTCACCAGAGAGAGAGAGAATGAGAGTGAGAGGAAGAGGAGGTACAGAGGAGAGAGAAAGAACTTATTATCTCCATTTTATAGATGAGGAAACTGAGGCATAAAGAAGTTAAGTGGTATATTTCTCACATGCTCACTGACTCTTTTTTTTAATGTTGCTATAGTGTATGTGAACTCACCAGAGAGAGAGAGAGAATGAGAGTGAGAGGGAGAAAGAAAGTGAGAAAGCACCCGACAAAGGGCATGGCCATACCACAACCCCTCCTCCTCCATTCTCATCTTAGGATCCTGGACACACATGCACGTATGTCCAGCATGTTTCGCAGGCCACCGGATCCAGGCCTCACCATGCAGTCTGCCATGTGGGATCTAGCCGCCTTAACCACAATGCCACTAGCTGACCCATATATGGCATATTTCAAGGTATGACATATTAAATACATATTTGGCTCTGATTCTGGCTTTTGACATAGAGCTCCTAAATGCTTGTAATTTCCTGAGTGAATGGGGTGCTAGGAGCATCTCACCCCCCCCCCCAGTAAATGGTCTTTGACCCTGGCTTCTGGCACAGAGATCCCCAAGCCCTCATAATC